GAAGCAAAAGGGGATTAATTCCAAGCAGAAATCCAATCATCGAGTATATCAAGCAACTAGTTCTCCATGCCTTGAATCAATTCCTACAGTGTCATCTACATCATCTGCTACAAATAATCCTAGTTTTGTGGAAGGCAAAGATTCACCTATCTCAGATGACGTTCGAAAATTGGTACAGAATTTAGTATCCTCAGCTATTACTTATGCTTTTTCTGCTATTGGTCTATCTGGTAAGAATTCAACATTTACTTCTTTTGTAAATCCTCTTTGGTTTATTGACTCTGGTGCTTCAAATCATATGACTAGAGCTCATGCTACCTCTAGTTTAGCCAAACCTTTCCAAGGGAATAATAAAATTGAAACCGCAAATGGTGAAAAACTTGATATAGTTGGTACAGATAATCTTACATTATCTGTGGCATCTCAATCCTCTTTTCATTTGCCAAATGTCTTTCTAGTACCCAAATTAACTACCAACCTAATTTCTGTTGGACAACTTGTTGATGATTTTGATCATGTTGTTTCTTTTTCTCGTTCTGGTTGTGTTATACAAGACCGTCGCACTGGGATAGTGAAAGGGAAAGGGTGTAGGATTGGTCGCTTGTTTGCCTTGGAATTTGACAAAGGACATAGTGATGCTGGTTTATTTGTTTCTTCTAATAAAGATGTCTCTAGTTCTCATAATCTTTGGCACTTATGGCATCGTAGACTTGGTCATCTCAATGTTAAGAGATTAGATACATTATTTACTTCTGGTCTTTTGAATAATAAAACTTTGCCATTGGATTCCATTGATAAATCTTGTATTAGTTGTTCTTTGAGTAAAAGTGCAAACTTACCCTTTCCAACTCATTCTTCAACTCCAACTAAACCTTCTGATTTGATACATAGTGATGTTTGGGGTCCTTCTCCTATTTCATCTAGATTGGGATATAAGTATTTTGTTTTATTTATCGATGATTGCACAAGATTCACATGGATATATTTTATGCGACACAAATCTGAAGTGTTCTCTCATTTTAAGACCTTTTTGTCCATGATTAGAACACAATTTGATACTAATATAAAAATTCTTCATTCTGATTCTGGGGGTGAATATTTACTAAAAGAATTTCAAGAACTTTTGAAGGTTGAGGGTATTCAATCTCAGAGGTCATGTCCTGCTACCCCACAGCAAAATGGTATTGCTGAAAGGAAAAATCGTCATATTTTAGAGGTAGTTAGAACTTTGTTATCTAATTCTCATGCTCCTCCTAATTTTTGGGTTGAGGTTGCTTCTACGATAGTTTATCTCATTAATCGTATTCCTTCTGAAGTATTGCATAACACCTCTCCATATTACTCTTTTCATAACTGCCATCCTGATTATTCTTGTTTACATGTTTTTGGTTGTGTGTGCTTTGTTCATTTACCACCTCATGAAAGGACAAAATTATCAAACCAAGCTGCCATGTGTGTTTTTGTTGGATATGGCGTTGATCAAAAGGGTTTCCTGTGTTATGATCCAAAAATTGGTAGAATTCGTATTTCTAGACATGTGGTTTTCCTGGAAAATTCATTTTATTTTGATGCAATTGCAAGCTTATGCAGACGCTAATTGGGCAGGTTGTCCTGATACACGTCGCTCAACCACAGGTTGGTGTGTACTTCTTGGTGATTCCCTTATTTCTTGGAAATGCAAGAAACAAAAAACAGTGTCCAAATCCACTGCTGAAGCTGAATACCGAGCAATGTCTTCAACATGTAGTGAATTGACTTAGCTTTGAGGATTTTTACAGACACTTACTTTTCCTACTCCTCCTTCACCTCTTTATGCTGATAATATGAGTGCTATTCGTATTGCATCCAATCCTGTCTTTCATGAGTGTACCAAGCACATTAAAGTGGATTGCCACTTTATACGGAATATGTATCTTGCAGGTGCCATTACTCTTCCTTATATTGCTTCTGAGCATCAAATTGCAGATATTTTTACAAAGGCAATGACAACTACACGACACAAGTTTTTAGTGAGCAAACTGACATTGGTTTCCCAGCCTCAGTTTGAGGGGGAGTGTAGGAAATAGGCATATTTTGTAATTTTGTTTTATATTAAGGGTTTTAGTGAGCAGCTCTGTAAGTTGTTTTGCACTCTCCACTTCCGCCTCACTTTACACTAACATGATAATTTCTTCGAAAAAATTATGTGTATATGTAAAGTTATCAAAAGTATAGAAAATATTAATTACTTAGTGGGTGAATAAGTGTTGGATAAATTGATGATTTTTTCTTAATTAACTAACTGGATCGTATGTTGTGTATTGTGTAAACTCAAAAATCAGATAATTGTTTTCTGCTTGCGAAGATTGAAATAAAATGTTTGTTCCTAATGAAATCAAAGTATCCGAAACAAAATATGTACATTAGCATTTACTTATTTCTTTTCATCCGAAATGAAAATGTCTTCACCTGCTGTCATTAACATGGTGTTTACCTTGATGAATTATTTCTTTTCATCCCTTCTGGTGATGTGGAGTTTGTTTCAATGAAGGTCTCAAGAACCCAACAAGAGAGGCTCAAGACAATCTGGAATATTCTTATGGGAGATTGCCATATTAGTTATGGAATGTTAGTGGGTATGGATCATGTATTGATGCAGCAATCACTTGCATAAATGCCTCCTCCATTGATGTAACTCCAGTTGATTCCTTTTGTAACTTGCCTTAATTAGTTCACAATTGTTGTATAGGAGTTCTAATGGTCTAAGGTTCTGAGTAGCTGTTGGCTATGCATGCTTTCTAGAAAACAGTTTAAACATATAAAAGATTTCTTTTCCTTGTTTCATTTTGCATTTCTTCCTACTTGTTTGTGGTTCATTTCTTGTAATGCTACTTGCTCTCTGTCAATTAATGAATAATGGAAACTTTTTGAAGTTATTCTGTTATTTGAATCCAGCTTGCTTTTATTTGGGCAGTTAATGCTGACAGTCACTAGGGGATGATGCAGCAATCTCAGCATTCAGCCTTCTAGGTCAGTTTGCAAAATGATGTGCAGCTCATTTTCATAATAGATTGTGACAAATATTGATTCTTTGTGGATATTCCATTCTCATTTAGTCATTTTCTATTATGGTGGTGTCTCATTGACTACCATCTTTGTCAGCAAAGAACTCATTAACTAAATTTAGTCTCATCTTGTTTGATTTTCAGAAGATTAGGTGCAGGTCCTTGCTGGGAGTCATTTTGTCAAAACTTATATATGCAATGTTTTTTCCTATTGCTTCTTCTAAAATGATATGGTGCAGTGAACCAACTACTAATTGAAATTTGAAAGTTAGGATAAATGCTTCAACCAATTTGCTTAAGGTTAATTTTGTTTAATTTATCCATTTGGTTTCTTTCCTGATTTGTCCTAGTATGATGTTAAGCCAATCATGCTTTAATGGCTATGATTTTCAAGCTCACTTCTGCATCTATGTACTTCTGCAAATGTTTTCTTTAAGTAAAATTTTCTGATAACTTAATCATGATTTGAAATTGGAAGGCAATTCATTTATCAAGAATAACTGTTCCATTAAGAAAATTTAGACAATATCAGAAGTGTAACAACCTCAATTTTCTATAAGTTCTATTTGTTTAACACCAAGAAACTGTTTCAATGAGGTCAAGCACTTGGATTTGTAAGCAACCTCCAGTTACTGACAATTGTATGGCTAACTTCTATTCATGGTATTTCTCATTGTTCTGCTAGCTTCATTTCCTATTATAATGTCCAAGGTGATATTGTGTGTTGCCTTCTTTTCATCTTGAATGCTATTGCATTTTGAATTTTATGTTCCATTGAGCCTATATGGGATTAGCACTCTTCTTTTAGTCATCTTAATTCTTTTTTTTTCTTTTTTTGAGAGCCTCTTGAATGTTTTATTGATTTCATCACAGCTTCTCCTTTGACATTTTTGAAGGATCCCCACAGAAATGGGAAAAACTCACTATGTCACTGAGTGTTATACCATTGGTTGTATATTTGCTCTTGGACACTCTGGCACTTGTAATGGTGCTGCTGCAGAAGGTTTGTTTCAGTCTCAATCATTTTGAATACCTGTAAAAGATGGAGTTCTCTTAACTGAATAAGGGATTTCACTCACTCTTTCAGGGATGTCACGACGCAGGCTGCTTTTTCTTGGAGATGCTATTCAACAGAGGTTGTCTGGTTAAAGTTCCTCTTTGAACCTACAAAGAGTTTATACATATTGGAGAAAGAAATCTACAGATTGAAATCAATTTTTTTTATATATAATAAGAAAATCTGTCACCCATTGGATTTATTGACTGACAGTTTCACTATGGAAATGGGCGCTACTAGTATAGCTACGGCATCATTTTATTAGATTACTATTAGCCTCATGTCTTCTTTCCATGAAGCAATATCTTCTTAGGCCAACACACAATCTATTTCCCCTCACTGGAGATGCTTTGAACATTTTGTTTGATATTTAAATAGGCTAAACTCTTTATATGTATCATGCACACTATTTTTTTTGTGGTTAATATCTTTGAGAATTTTTACTCTTGGTCAACACTTTTATAATTTAAAACATGTAAACTAAAACCCAAAAGTTAATGGTCAAACATCCTATTGGATCCTACCTTTATTGGTAATTTGAGGTTTTTGATGGATTTTAAATTATTGAAGGTATTAACTAAAAGTGAAAATTATAGGAAGTGTTATCGTAAAAAAAAAAAATGTGTAGAGTATAACTAGGGAGTTTGCCCTAGTAAATGAACATGGTTGAATTTTTGTTCATACGGTTGCAACTTTTGGTCTTGTGGGAGAAAATAGGTGTTATTAGTTATATGCCTTCGATTTTATTCAGGGTTGAGTAAACCATACCCATTATTTGCTACCGTGCGACGTGCGTATGTTTAGGTTTTATCCTTGATATGGAAGTTACAAGTAATCTTATATTCTACACTGCAGAATACCTATAAGAGAAATTAAGAAAGTTGTATTAACCAAAACAGCCTAGGTCAACGTTTAATTTGCATTGTTATGGCTACACAACAGTAATAGGAATAGGAGAGGGAAAAGGCTTAGAGGCAAACACTTACCGTATTTGTTTTATAGATTTTATTATATGGCATCTTATATTAATAAAAGAAAGTTTCAAGTACGATAAATTTTAATTCTCCATGTTATATTTTGAGAAAAGTGTTTATCAATCAAAAATTAAGAGAAAAGAAATATTATAAAAGTATGAGTTTTATTAAATTTAAAAAATTAAAATAAAATAACATATTTTTAAAGTAAGATTAGCACTATTTTGAATTTTTTATAATTTTTTAATAAATTTTTTTATAAAATTGATTGATATCAACTAAATTTTTTTATTGCACAACACTATACGGTAATTTTAAAATGCATAGTTAAAGTATATTTAGTTTTAGTTTGGGAAAAAAAAGGGAAAAACAAAACAAATTAGAGATTATTCAAATTCACGTACTTACTAGTGATTAAAAGAATATTTCTCTAGCATCTTTTAATTTCTTTTTGATGACTTATCAATATATATAGAGAACTTAATTTGAGAAAAAAATACATTATATTCAAATATAGAATTCCAAGTTTCTAACAAAAATAATAATTGATATATTTTTTAGTTTAATTTCTTTTTGATGACTTATCAATATATATAGAGAACTTAATTTGAGAGAAGAATACATTACATTCAAATATAGAATTCCAAGTTTCCAACAAGGATAATGATTA